GTGTAGTGATTAAGAAAGCAGGTCTGGAAGGCAGGCAATCTGGCTTCTAGTCCCCATTCAGCCGTGGAGCAACTGGGCAACTTTGGGCCAGTCACAGTCTCTCAGCCTGACCTACCTCACAGGGTTGTTGTTGTAGGGATAAGACAGAGAGCAGAAGGAGGGGACGGTGTAAGCTGTTTTGAGTTCTTTGTAAGAAAAAGCTAACAAGTAAATAAATTCTAGATAATGGTTGTATGTAATACAACAGTACTTGATATGGTGTATGGGTACATGTGTTGCTCTATTGAAACCCCAAAGTAAAGATAACAGGACTACCTGTAACGTGCATTATACATTTTGCTAACTTTTTATATGCTTTTGAGGAGATCAACAGGAGGAAACATGCAATGAGATCCTGCAAAACAAATGAGTAACCACTATGCATTTATTGTTTCATTTTATTTTACAGATACTCAGGGAGTCTGCAAACAAAAATCAAAGTTGGCAGTGTGAATCAACTATTTCCAGAGCCACAATGCCTCTTAACAGTTTTGAAGCCACGCTTGTTCACATTATGCGATGCACTTGCCCTTGGTTCAGAACAGTATAAATAAAGCAAGTGATCTTGGCATATTCAGATAGATTTATCTTAAGACCACCCCTTCCCTGTAGATAAGGGTTCACCCAGGCAGTCTGCCCAGTCTGGCCTGCTCAGGTCTTTCAATGTAAGTGGGTAAATAAGACTGTGTTTATTTAAGACCATTCTTCCTATGGGCTCTAAGGACTAAAGACACTCTATTTGTATATTTTATCCACCAGATTAGCAAGACAAAGATTATTCTGAAGAGACTTTGAGGGATTTTGTGAAAGCCAACATTACTCTGGCAGAAGGGGGATATAGACAGCCAAATTCCCTACTTCACTGACTCTTACCTCTGAAAATGCTCCAGGAATGTCTCAGGATGGGGTGGACTGAGGCAGTGGAGACTGATCTCCAATGCTCAAGTAGAGATGGCTAGCTTACCATCTTTTCCATTTACAATGAATCAACTCCTGAGAACTTCCACGGAGTACTTCCTGGTCATCCCAGATCCAACAGTGTGTCACCAGGCAATGGCACATAGGAGAACTTTCTCAGGAGTGATGTGTGAACTCAACCCAAGTGAATTTGTCATTTGCTTAGAAAGTAATGGACTTATCCGCATGAGTTCAGTGAGAGCTTCCCTTTAATAGAAGCTAATATTTCCTGTACACAAATTTTTATGCAAACACAATAGCAAGGTGCCTCTTGGAAGCAGGAGTCTGGAATTGTCTGATAACATCCTGCATTATACACCATCACATTATCATTATTGTTGTCATTAGTTATGTTTATATCCTGCCTTTTTTTTCCTTTCAAGGAATTCAACAATTCAAGAAACATCGTGTTTCCCAGATCAGTTGACTTCATGTGGCCTGACCCCATGATGTGATGGTTCCTGTCTGAGTAGCAGTATATGGACAAAAGAAGAAGACTGAGGAGAGCATCCTCCTCTTCCTCAGAAGGGCCAGAAGTCCAATGCCAGTAATATAAAGGAAGCAGCAGTGAATGCAGAAGATGATTCATGGATTAAAGCAACCAACACGCTACAGAAATTGCAATATTCTGATGCAACTGAACATGGTTTGAAGCTCTCAAGCCATTCCGAATTTAATGGCAAGCTCATAATATGTCAGTCCAGGATCACTGCAAAGGTGAACATTCTAAATTAAAACATTTTGACAAATGAGATGACTCATTGCAAAATTTGGCAGTGTCGCTACTTATCAGTTGTGGCACCCACCATCTGGAATATGCTCTAATATCTGGTTTGACTGGCAGAAACTGTGCTGAGTTTTAAACACCTCCTGAAGACATTTCTGTTTGCTCAGAAATGTTTTTGCTGCTTCGTAATCAGACTTCAACTATTCTTGTCACAACATTTTTAATTCCTACATTTTGGTTTTACACTGGGTGCCTTTACTTGAGTTTCTTGGAAACCTCCTTGTCTCACCCAATTAATTCAAGAGGATTCCCTGACTTCCCCTTTAGTATTTTTCATTGAATTCTGGAGCTGCCAGTGGGATTAACATGTCAGTAAAGTAACTTCCTTGAACTTATTTCTGACAGCACCACCTTGAATGCCACCTTATCCCTCCTTCTTACTGCCCTTAGCACGTCAGCTCAATCCTAAGTATTTACTACTCTAAGTACACCACCTCCTCCTTACTGCTCTAAGTACATCAGCGAATGACAGCTCTGATCTCTCTTACCACATTCACCAATTTTTATCACTGCTTCTCTTTCTTGCACCATACAGGGAACTAATTCTACAAAGGGCAATTATTTTCTTCAAGTTTTACTTTCTGTTCTGTTGAATGTAGCCCAAATTAATGGATAGTAGGAATGGATTGCCAGGCATCTCTGTGTACAATCAACACAGTACACAAAAAGTTGCTCCACAGGAGAAGTTGAAGAGAAATGGCAGTTGTAGTAAACTTGTGAATTTATTTTGATAAAGTAGCATATATATTAGTGTGTTTTGCATACACTGGCAGTCACAGCAACTTTTCCATTACTAAATCTGCATATATTTCCAGAAAGTTAAGCAAAAATCACACAAAATAAACAAAACCTGGACTGCAATCTGATGAATCTTCATGACTCTGAAGATGCCACTCCACTCCAGAAATCCAACATCATTTCAGCCTGTTTCAGATTTATCAAACATTCCTTATGGGTGGTCATAGAATGCTATGAGAGCTAACCATTTGAATTTTAAAAGCGGTAAATGCTTATATATGGTCCCAGATAATATGGACATGAATGGACATTGTGGGTTGTGCAAGGAAAGAGACAGATGGAGTGATGCTTCTTGCTTGATGCCTGCACATCATATCAGTCGATGGGTGGGCTTTTCTGTTATGTGCCATCAAGTAATCTCTGACTTATGGTGATGCTATGGGTGAAAGCCCTTCAAAACGTCCTGCCCATGGCAGTCCTGCTCAGCTCTTCCAAATCCAAACTGTGACTTCCTTTAAGGAGTCATTTCACCTCATCTGTCCCATCTTTGATTTCCCTTTTTTGTTTTCTTTTGCCTTGACTTCCACTAGTACGATTGTCTTCTCCAAGGAGTCTGGTCTTCTCATGATGAAGTGGGGCTCACAGGACGATATTAGCCCACAAAGTCCACCTGCAACCTCTTTGGATTTTGCAGCCCAGTGTGGAGAAATGGGTTACTTTTGAGAGCACTTCATCTTGCTCACTCAGAGTTTTGCAGCTCTGGGGAATGGTGATATGGGAAACCCTCCCTATACCATGATGGTACCAACCTGCAGGGTAGCAAGTAGTTAAGACACTACCTGGCATTGGTTGGATGTCTTGTTCAATAATATTCCTAGATAGTCATCTAAAAGAGCAGCATCATGAGAGCCAGTGTGGGGTAGTGGTTAAGAGCCTGGGACTGGGACTCAGACTATCTGGGTTCTAGTCCCCACTCAGCCATGGAGCCAACTGGGTGACTTTGGGCAAGCCACAGACTCTCAGCCCAGCCTACCTCACAGGTTGTTGTTGTGGGGATAAGATGGAGGAGGAGGAGGATGTAAGCTGCCTTGAGCCCTTTGTAGGAAAAAGGCAGGATATAAATTGAAAAATAAATAAATAAATAAAATAATTCCCCAACTCTGCTAATCTGTCATAAATAAATATGGTCCAGGTTTATACCAAATCACAACGTGTCTCTTTGTTCCTCCGGCTTTTCACTCACAACTAGAGATTTCTTGCTTATGACTGCTTCTTTTTCTCTGAGGAATTTTAAACTGGGATTCTTTGCCTGCACTCACAGTGTGCACAGTCCTGTTGGTCACAGGAAAAAACTCCTTTTTAAATAAAATGCTAAGACCCGATCAATATCCAAATGCAGCACTATCTCTCCGCAATGTCTCACTGTTGCCAGCAGGTGCCTCTCTTAGCACTATTCATTCAGATTTTTCAAAAGGGGGACAGACATGAATGCAGCAAGAAGCATGAAACATCCTTTTGGTGTGCTATGTTCTGTACATATGCAGAAAGGGAGAGAGAGGAAACAGTACAACTGATGTGGTATAGCCCTTTCTTAAATGATTAAACATACTGTCCAGGCAAGAGCTAGGCATCACTGTTCCAAAAGTGGGTTGCTAGTCACTTTTCAGAACAGCATTTAGTACTGCTGCTCGCTTCTTTGATCCTGCAAGGTCACTGTAAAGATGTAACATCCAGGCGACCCTCACTTTTTATTACTTTATAATAGTTGGGGCAGAAGCAAATTTAGGCAGCAAAACCACCTGGGTAAAGCCCCCCTGCAACTCATAGGCTGATCTGGATTTAGCCTCACATATTCTCAATCAGTAGCAAAAGCAATTAGGATTACTTGGGCACTGCACTGGTAACTGAGCATCGCAAGTTTACCCTTATATTCTTAAACAAGGGCACATACTGCAAAATCTGTGCTGCATAGTAGAGAAACCTCAACTACTGAGCAACTCTTTCTGAATTTGCACTCTTGCTTTGTAAATGTAAAAGCAATTGCAATAGTGTTCATGAAATCCTAGGCATTTTTTTAAAATGCAGGCTATAAGACTTGCAGCAGCCCACAACTCATACAGTTATACCCATCGCACTGGAAATAATTAAAACTTGGTTGCTGAATTGTTGAACCACTTTGGTGGCAGTGGTCATTTTGGCATGAATTCTGCAGCTGTTTGCAGAATGCATGCCATCCTCAAGCATGTATTTGCCTTTGCTCTTAGCTACCTCCTTGTAAATCTCCTGGGAGAGAAGGTTTGGGAACTCCAGCAAAACTAACTCCTGCTTTTCAAGTGCTGTAATGCAAAGTCCACTCGTTTTCATTGGTATTGCTAGGCTCCTCCCTGTGCAACAAATGTGAATTGAAATGTGAATTAGGGCTGCTAAAACAAAGTCATTAGGAGCAGATCTTTAGCAGGAATACAGATGTCTCTACTTATCCTGTTTATTTCTTTGGCAGCCAGGCAGAGACATCACAATACTTCTGCCACACAAGTGCAGAAGAACTTTTGAAAGGCATTTTTTGTTCCTTTTAAAACCTGGGAGAAAACTTGGCAGTCCTGGAAATGCATTTTAGCTTGCACCCACTCTACTGGAATTAGTGACTCTGGCTTGGTGTAAACAATAACAAGTTTCTTGACTTGATCAAGGTATATTTTCTTCCCAAGTTTTCACTCCAGAGACAAACTGGATTTGACTGGTGTCTCTTCATCTTTACCAGCAGATATCTGAAACTTTTAACTAAAGTTTATTACAATGTCAGTTGAGAAAATTGAGCTGAACATTCTCTCTTCAGAAGTGGATGGCAGATGTGATCTCCAGCCAGATGTTAGTGAGACCAAATTCAGCAATTTGTATATGGATTGGTGCAAACATGAACTTCATTCTTCTGTCTCTTTACCCACTGGTAAGCTTCAATTTACCTTAACTTTTTGGATGACTACTAAAAAAGGTGCTAATGGAGTGCTAATAATGGAGTAATTTACAGAACCAAATGAGACAAAGTGGGCAATTAGCAACTATAGGTGTTAGTACAAATGAGGACAGAATGGCTGAGGCGCCCCTGTCCAGTAGTTACTGCATGCAGATGTTGGAAGACTTTGCATTGTTTGTTGGCATATGTGACATACGATATTTACATGTTGTCTTTCCACTATTCACTAATGGGTACTGTTTCCTTTGAAAATTTCTAGACTTACTAAATCTGGGAATATCAGAATAGCTTACCTGCACCAATGCACCTAGATTTTGATCCTGTATGACAGCGAGGAGCTACACACCCAAGTCCCCAAAAGCTGTAATACCAGCGCCCAAAACATTGCCAGTTTGCCACTAAGAAAGACTAAAATGGCTGCATCTCAGTTGCTTTCGGGTGAAATTTGGCTGTTTTAGGCTTCCATAATGGCGAATGGGGCAGGATATAAACCCAATAAATAAATAATAACACAAATAAAAATGGACAACATTGCATCAAAAATAAACAAGATTTATCTCTTACATTTATATAATGCCATTTCTTACAAGAACTCGAAGCAGCTTACATCATTCTCTTCCCGCTGCCCTCAATTGTATCCCCACAACAACAACCCTGTGAGGTAGGCTGGGCTGACAGTCTGTGACTGGCCCAAAGTCACCCAGTTGGCTCCATGGCTGAACAGAAAGTAGAAGCCAGATTGCCTGAGTCCCAGTTCTGTGCTCTTAACCATTACACCACACTGGCTATAGGCCCTTTAGATTTCCTTCACTGCCCAAAATTATGCGTGTGAGTTGAGCCATCAAGTTATTAAAAAGCAGCCACATTTTGATGTAATTTGCCCAGTCACCTGTAAAATAGAGTGAGAGAAGCTGAATTTGTTCCATATCTACCTCAGCTCCCTGAATCTTGTCATTAGAAGCACTTATTTCTCTTGGACAGTATTTGGCAGTAAAAGTTAAATGTAAGATGAAGGAAGATTTAACCATCCACCTTTTTGTAGTAAAAATCATGTTCCCCTGCCCACTCTATCATTTCCACCACCCACCATAGTTCCCTGGTTCAGCTGCACTGGGAAATGAGAGGTAATTAGTGCCTTCCTTGTTTGATTGCTCAAGAAGCAAAGGGACTGAACACAGAGGCAAAAGGCTTATTACTGTCTTGATCGTTTGAATTGGGTCACAACCAAATGAGAATCCTTATTTATCAGACAGATATTTATTACCTGGAAGCACTGTTTCTGACTGGGCCCTGCTCCTAGTGGTTTGCAGTTGCCTTGAAAAGGGCTCTGGAGGGGAGGGTGCAGGGTCCAAAAAACCGCATTTGGAACACAATTGCACATGGGAACGGAGAGAGTTGCAGGGTCTTATTGAAGGATGATAAAAGAACTGAAACTAAGGGGAGATGCTTTCCCACATGCAAAAGACAACATTCCATATCAAGGCCTCTTCATCCAATAATCTTAGAAATATTGCCTTAAAAATACAGTGTGTTGCTTTGCAGAAAAGCACAAAGCTGGAATAACACAGTGAAATGTTGGAAGCACTCACAATTCTATTCACATTTTTCCAGACTGTCACTAGAAAAAAAATGTGACTTAAATGTGGCCGAATACTCCATTGTGCCCACCTTTGCTGTAGTACAAAGCCTGTTTCCTGATGTATGACATCTCACATGACTCACAGGGGGTGTCTGTAACGGAGTGAGGTTTGCAGCTGATGTGCAATCACTCGCTTCCTTAGGAAATGCAAGCAAAGTATGCATGTAACATCCAAATGTAAACATGGTTCTATTTTTGTCTAGGCAGTAAACAGAATCACCAGCACTTTTAGTCGCCATAATAGAGGGCATCCATCATAAAAGGGAATACAGAGTGGTATACAGACCTATTTTAAAGGTACTGATGAAAAATTAAAAATGATTACTAGAATTTAAATAGAAATAGTGAGGAAAGCTATGATGTCTGCCCAATTTGCTACACAAGGGCTAACAAGGCCCCACACCTTTTCCTTATGTTCCTTATCTTGAAACCAGACAGCCCATCAAATAGAGTTCCAAAATCTGTATTAGAGTAACACTTCTGAAAAAAGGTACAATGCAACCCACCTTAAAAAAACAAAAATATTAATAAATAAATAAATAAATAAATAAACTGCTAGATTCCAAGATCTCCAGCTCTCTTCATCAGTCAAGACGTTACAAAAGGCAGGATGATGGTATGCTGCACAAGGGAAAAGGCTGACTTGATGCTGAAGTTGAGAAGTACAAATATAGAAACATGGCAAGTCAGAAGGGGCCTCCTGGGCATCCGGTCTGACCCCCGGCTCCAGCTGGCTCTGCTCATGGAACTCCCAACTTGAGGTTGTCCAATTTTTCCTTTAACACTCTCACTGATGGGGACCCCATCACCTCCTGTGGAAGCCCATTCCATATCTTAGGGGTCATCAGGAAGTACTGTACTGCCTCACCTCCAACCTGAGATCCGGTTCCTTCCGCTAGACCACATCCTTTCCTCCATTGCAGGGGAGAACAGGTCACAGCCCTCTACCGTGTGACACCCTTTCACATACCTATATGCTGCTATAAGATCCCCTTTGGACGCTCCTTTTCTCCAGGCTGAAAAGACCCAGGTCCCTCAATTTCATCTCATATGGCATCCCTCCCCACCACCACAAAATCCAGCTACCAGCCTTGTGACCCTGCACCGAACTGATTCTAACCTAGCTATGTCTCTCTTATAACGTGGAGTACAGAATCAGACACAAATCTGCATGAGCAGGGTCTTGAGATGAAATGTGGCCCACAGACAGCCTTTTGAATAGAGGACTGTCCACGGTGAAGTAGTCCACATGCCTACATTACATTAAAGCAAAGTTAAGCAATATGCCGTGAAGATGATTATCAGTGTGAAATACCCATCAAATCATATTTTTGTTGATTCTCCAGTTCTAAATATCACTGTCTGCAGTGGCAGCTGAACATCATGTTTTGCTGTGCTGAGCCACAGAAGCAGGACCCTTTTAAAGCACTGCACTTTTTCATTTAGTTTTATTTCACTCAGTTCTGATGATCACACAACACTATGTGAATAGAACAATATTTTCTGTGTTTTTATACCAGTGCCATTTCCCCCTATTATCTTTAGTTTCCACAGATGCATTTGAAATATTTTCACGTATATTAGGCAACTTGGCAAGCCTTTCCCCAATCTAGGGATGAGTCGGCACACTTGCCAGACTAGGACTTAACCTTCCCCCTCTCTTTCTCACTCGAGATCCTTTTTATAGCTGGCCTCCTGGCTGTCCTTTCAGCTCCTTCCCATCCTTAGACAGAAACGGTTGAAATTCTACATATGTAGGGTTATTTCCTTTCCCTGCCCTGAGGTCTCCGGTCAGTTGGCAACTGCACACAACAGATTGCCATTGTGCCTCTCACTGCATAAAGGTTTTTCAAATACATCCCAATACCCTGCTCAGATATCAGAGGGACTGTTAAGGCCAGCTAGTGCACTTGCTCTATTTGCATGTATGCAAATGAATGCTGGGAGATGAGAATGTTCTGGTAGCTGTCAGTGGTCTGACACTTTGATTGTAGCATCCAGCTCCCAGGAAGCATCTCTGCTTCTGAATGAAATGTAATTTGAAAAGTGAGATACCAGAAGAACCACCAAAAACACGGAGTCTCTGGTAGAGAATGCTACAACACAGGAGTGTATCACCTTCTCCAGCTGGAAAGGGGGAAGAAGAAGTAGATTGAGAACCAATGTGATGTAGTGCTTAAAATGCTAGATTGAGGGTTTGGGAGATTAGGGTTCTAGTCACCACTCAGCCAAGAAGCTGAATGGAGACTTAAGGCCTATGACAGACTTTCAGTGTAATCTATTCCAGAGGGTTGTTGTGAGGCTTTAAAATGGAGTGCAATTTAACTCTGTGCAACACTGTGGGTATCTCAGAAGAAGAAAAAGCTGAGTTCCTGTTAAAATCTGAACACAGCCTTTTGCACAGGTATGCATTAAACTCTCACCTGAGTACCAATGTCAGACGAAGAGAGATATGGAAAAACATAGTTGCAATAAAATGCATATAGGTACCATTACTTCAATTTCAATACCAATATGGTCAGTGCTTTTTTTGTAAGAATAAAGGTGCCGGAACTCATGAAATTATTTACCTTTCGCACGTAGTCAGTCACTGTACACACACCCACACACATCAGTTGTGTAACGAAACATAATGGTCGCTGCCCACAGTAAGCACTCAGCGCACGACCACACGATCAATCACAAGCCGAGCAGCACCATCACAACCAGCGTGGACGAAGTACGCATGCATCGGACTCAACACACAAGCAGCCCGCATGCACTGCTTTAATGATTTTGCCGCCGACCTGCTACGCTCGACAGGGCGATTCGAATCCACGTGGACCAAACATCAAATTTTCAAAAGTTACTTTTAAAACTTGGAAAATCTGTCAAAAAAAGGTGCCGGAACTCTGTTCTGGTGTGTTCTATGACAAAAAAACCCCCACTGAATATAATACATCTCTTCATGATCAGGAAGCTTGTGAGAAGGACTTTTGTGTCTGCCCTGTTCTATTGCTGCCTAGTTGCTAACTGTTGATAGACGACACTTTAAAAGTTCTTTATCTTTAAAATGAATAGGTCAGAACAGCTCTTCAAATAGGGGCCACCCTCTGTCAGTCCATCCAACTGAGAACTGTCCTTTGTAAAAAGACAAAACAAAATCACCACCACCCAGTCACTCAATTTGAAGAACTCAAACCACTGCCTTTATGCACCTAGAAATGACAGGTTGAGCATGGGGATTCCCTACGCATGTAAAGATAATTTCCTGAAGCAATTAGCAAGCCCCAAATCTTCCTGAAGTAAATGCTAGCATCCCATATGCTTTTACAATGTTGGGCCAACTCAGTTA